TAAATCCTTACCAGCTCCCCAAAAGTGGGCGAGGGCCCCCAGCTGATGGTGCTCTCGTCCGCTGCCACAATGATGCTGCTCTTCCTGCGGTGGGGTGCAAGGAAGGCAGGGTGACCCCACAACCCCACCATGGCACCCCAAAAAACTGGGAATTTTTTTTTTTTTTCAGGGTTCGGGGTGGGGGGAGCTAGGACTTACCCACAAGCCAAGCTGCGGATCTTCCACCCGCAGAGATCCTGCACGGCTTTGGGGTACATGGTGGACTCACGGGAGGTGTTGGTGGCACCCCAAAAAAACAACCCGCCTGCAAAACCCAACAGCACCCGTCAAGCTCCAGCACCTCCCAAAAAAACCCCAAATAATGAATTATTTGCTTTAAATCCCCGACCTGTCTCACTGACGGCGAAGGAGCACGTGTAGCCGGCGTAGATCTGCGCCGCCCCGCGCCCTGGGAAGTCAAAGAGCTTCACCAGCCGCGGAACCATCTCGTCCTTCTGCTCCGCGTGGCCCAGCCGCCCGTAGCCCCCGAAACCCCAGGAGAAAACGCGCTTCTGTGAGTCCAGGACCAGCTGGGGAGGGAGAAATAGCCACCCTGACTGTGAGCGGCTGAAACCCGACCGGCTCGGCGCAGGGGAAGATGCTGCAGCCTCAGTGAATGGCATCGGTCGCAGTGAGTGTTGCAAATGCTGAATGCACGCTGCAAATCTGTCCTTAAATGCACCCTGCAAATCTTTAGCTTTAAATGCACCCTGCAAACCTCAATCCTTAAATTCATGCTGCAAGTATCAGTCTTAAATGCACACTACAAATCTTTACCCTTAAACGTATGCTGCAAATCTCAATCCTTAAATGCACCCTGCAAATCTTTAAATGCATGCTGCAAATCTCAGTCCTTAAATGCACCCTGCAAATCTTTAAATGCACGCTGCAAATCTCAGTCCTTAAATGCACGCTGCAAATATTTATTCTTAAATGCACCCTGCAAAACTTCATCCTAAAGTGCATGCTGCAAACCTCAGTCCTTAAATACACACTGCAAGTATTTATCCTTAAACACGCACTGCAAATATTTATCCCGATACGCACGCTGCAAATCTCTATCCTAAAATGCATGCTGCAAACCTCAATCCTTAAATGCACCCTAAAAATCTTTAAACAGACACTGCAGGTATGCATCCTTAAACATATGCTGCAAATCTGTATTCTAAAATGCACGATACAAACCTTGATCCTTAAATATGCGCCGCAAATATTTATATGCATGCTGCAAATCTCTATCCATAAGTGCACACCGTAAATTTTGAGTTTTATGCATGCTGCAAAACTTTACCCTTAAATGTATGCTCCAAGTGTACATCCTTACATGCACACTGCAAAACTTTATCCCTGCATGCATGCTGCGAGTATTTATCCTAAAATGCATGCTGCAACCCTCTAGCCTTAAACGCATGCTGCAAGCCTCTATCCTTGCATTTAAGGATAAACGTTTGCACGAGCATCTAAGGATGAATGTTTACAGCATGCATTTATGGATAAATATCTGCAGGGTGCATGCATGTTGCAAATATTCATCCTTAAATGCTCCTGCAAACATTTATCGTTCCATGCACCCTGCAAACATTTATCCTTAAATGCATGTTGCAAATATTCATTCTTCAATACTCCTGCAAACATTTATCATTGCATGCACCCTGCAAACTTGTAGCCTTACATGCACGCTGCAAATATTAATCCTGAAATGCTCCTGCAAGCATTTATCCTTCCTGCATGCTGAAAATCTTCCCCAATTAATGCCCATTGCAGGTGTTTATAATTAAACGCAACCCTGCCCCGTACCGTGTGGTTGGCGCCGCACGCCACGTCCCGCACCACCACGTTGGGCACGGGCAGGATCTGTCCGTCTTTGGTCTTCTCGATGAAGATGGCCACGCGCCGCGGCACCAGCTCGCAGTCGTACTCTATCCGCTGCGCCCGGGCGATGAATTTCCCGTCCGAATTATGCCCTGTGGACGAACACCGGGATAAAAACCAGGGGCGTCCCCCCCCTGCACCCCATTATTTCCCCACCAGCTGCAAAAATCCCCCCTCCTCTTACAAACCCCTTTTTTTTCCCATCATTTTTGCAGGAGTTAAAGCAGAGGGATGCTTTGCTTGCCCAGCTGGGGAAACTGAGGCAAGAAAATTATTTTTTCCCCTCTTTCAATTCCCATAATAAGTCAAAATTTAAGCAAAGCACCCCAAAATCACACCGCACCCAGCTGTCCAAATCCCTCCTCCTCTTGCAAACCCCTTTTCTTTTTTTTCACAATTTTTGCAGGAGGTAAAGCAGAGGGATGCTTTGCTTGCCCAGCTGGGGAAACTGAGGCAGGGAAATTATTATTTTCCCCTTCTCTTAACCCCATAATAATTGAAAATTTAAGCAAAGCACCCCGAAATCACACCGTACCCAGCTGCCCGTACTCGGGGCACCCGAAGGAGTAGAGGTTTCCTTTGCAATCCATGATCATGCTGAACTCGGCCCCGCACGCCAGCTTGGTGATGGGCTGCCCGTTGTACATGATCTGCGGGAGAAGCACAAAAAGGGGTTAAAAAAAATCCCCAAAAAACGAGGAAAAAAAGGCAAAACCTGGAATTTCCCAGGGGATCCCCCAAAATCCTCAAATCTGGGGCTTTATTTGCAATGCAATTCTTGCTTTTTTTTTTTTTCCTTTTTTTTTTTCTTTTTATCTGACTCCGTCCCCAAGAGATTTTGTGTCCTAAAGGGGTTTAGGCTCTGCTAGGAGCTTTTAAATTTTTTTTTTCTATGAGAAACCCCCAGATTTGACGGGTTTTTCCCCCAAACCCCAAAGGAAGGAGCGGTGATACCTGCGTTGGGCTGGGCACGGCGTCCGTCTGGTTCCCCAGCCCCAGCTGCCCCATTTTGTTCTCCCCGAAGGCGAACACTGAGCCGCTCTCTGCAGCCCAAGAAAAAAAAAAAAAAGAGGAAAAAAATAAAGAGAAAAAAAAAGGAAAAAATAAAGAATAAAAAAAGAAAAAATAAAGACAAAAAAGGCAAAAAAGAAGAAAAAATCCCCAGAAAAACAGAAGAAAAGAGAAAAAATGGAAGAAAGAAGAAAAATAGAATAAAAAAGAAAAAAGGGAAAAAAGAAAGAAGAGAAAGAAAAAAGAAGAAACATAAAGAAAAAGAAAGAAGACAGATAAAGAAAGGAAGAAGAAAAAAGAAAGAAAAGAGAAAAGCGAAAAATTAGAAAGAAGAAAAAACAAAAGTAAAAATGAGGGAAAAACGAAGAAAGAAAATGGAGAAAAAAGGAGGAAGAAGAAAGGAAAAGGAAAAAATATAGAGAAAAAAGAAATAAAAGCAAGGAAAAAAGAGAGAAAAAAGCAAAAAGAAAAGAAATAAGGAAAAAAAGAGAAAAGAGAGAAGAAAAAGGAAAAAAGGAAAGAAAAGGAAAAAAGAAAAAAGGAAAAAAGGAAAAAAGAAGGAAAAAATAAAAAAAGGAAAAAGAAAAAAAAGAAGGAAAAAAGGAAAAAAAGAAGGAAATTGTCATTTTGGGGCAAAATCAGCCAATGTCAGGCACTTTCTCCAAAATCAGCGCTTTCCCCTCCGGTACCTGTGAGCGCCAGCGTGTGGTTCCGCCCGCAGGCTGCCG